GTTTACTCGCCCGTTGACTCGCACACATGTCAGACTCCTTGGTCCGTGTTTCAAGACGGGACGTGACATGCCGGAACCTTGTAATTTATTAGTATTAGTATATGTCATTTTGACCCTATTAGTTTAATTGTATATTTAATCTCATGAAAGGAATAAGGAGTGTTCTTTCCTAATTTTCTAGTTTTTCTTTTTACTAATCTGGAATAATTTAGCTCAAAAAAAATAATTTAGAGACAAATTATTTCACTATATGCTAGTTATGAATAGAAAATAACAAAAAATGCAATTGCAATTTCATAATTAATGAAATTCAATGATATAATTTTGTAAATAACATAAACATAATAAGATTATTGTTAGAATGTCGTTCAATTAATTGTTTTTTTTTTAATTTTCAAATCATATTGAGAGAAGAATTTCTCCTAATTAATACATATACTTATACTTTTAGGTTCCTGAAATTATTTACTAAATAAATGTCCCGACGTATTATTTTCGTGCAAGTAAAGTTAAGAATATAACTCTAAAAGATGCAGTTTAATTGGTCAAATAATAAATTTGTTTTTTAAAAATTATTATTTTAAGTTTTATAAATCTTAAAATTACTTAAAATTTAAATATTTTTTAATTTTAAAATTTGTGAGATTAATCGAGAGTAACGTAAACAAGTCTGATATATATATTAATAATAATGAAAAAAAACACCCAAAATGTGTCTTTGACCCTTTTTACAATTCAGATGGGAGACGCAAGTTTTATAATTTTCGTACGCATAACAAAAATCACCCTTACACTGTACACAATATCCATGTGAGATTTTGTTGGATTGCTACCAAATTATCAAATAATAATATTTACTTTATAACACTTCTCTAATAATTTTATAGTATTGCACAATCTTGTACTATTAAATTTTAATTAAAGAATATAATACATAGGTGACAGTATTCAAAAATTGCTTGTTAATTTGTTTAGTTAAATATTAATTAGGTGACTCGAACTTCGTTGTTGGCCGGATTAATTTTTTCTAACCCGTCAAATCTATTAATAGCTGGTTTCATTACTAATGGTGATAGGATCTTGATAAAGCAGGTTAAATCCAAACATCTTATTATTTAAATTTTAAAGTTTTGAAAAAAATTAGAGCGTACAAATAAAAAAAGGGGCAACAGCACACTTGTTTTGCACGAGCTGACTTTTCTAAAATTCCATGGCGAGCTGACTTTTCTAATGGGAAACTGCCATTCTATGGTTAAAATTACGAAAAAAATCTCAAAACCTCAAACTCCTATAATTTGTTAGCTCCGAGTTCAGGTGGCTTGGGCATGGTGTAACACTAGCCAGCTAGCACGAACGAGAGTTTCGAAAGAAGCTGGTCATAAATGGCTCTAAAAGTGAGACACGCATGGTAGTGCAATAACAAAATAGACAAGTCCTTGTTATTTACAAAGGGTTAAAGTGCCATGATCACAAAACTTCCAGTAATGATAGAAGATATCACTGGAATTAATTGAAGGATAAACCCTTATTTCGTAGAAGCCGTGCTTGTCCAGGAAGGATAACAACAAGTATATCGAAAGGCAAAGATCTTCAATACTTGGATCTGGAGAGCCATATGACTTCCTGAACAGCAGATGCAGCAAGCAAGAAGCAGCTCAAGAAAGTGAAGAAAATAGAGACAGCAACATGGTCACAGAAGCTCCGCAGAGGCTTGCAGAAATTTGGCAAAGCTGTGTGTCGGATTCCAGTGCGATTGAGGTTGGTGACTCCTGATGCAGCTGCCCCAGCGCTTATTGTTGCATATGCAAATACCTACAACTCAAAAGTTGATGAGACCTCAGTAGAGTAGTAGATTAATGCACGAGTTGAAACCAAATGCTTGAAGCTGCACGAGTTCAATCTTTATAAAACAAGCAGCACCCTTAAGTTACCAGTCAGGGTGACTTGGGCAAGCTTGGTGAGACAACTAATTTACATTTTCAGCTAGGGGAAGTAGCGCCAGGATATTTCAACAATGACAACTTTGGAAATAACAGCTTCAGAAAATTTGAGAATCATTTGTACTAGAATATTGGTATATCGAAATGGACATGGTTTTAAATTTGGGCTCACTCATAATGAGCTGATGAAGCGCAAACGGATGCAAATTCCGGGGGGCCTGATTCTTGCCAACCGTGTTAAACCTTTGCATGGTGATATCATAAGTCCTTAATTAATTTACGAGCTAGAAGTTCATGTGGCTGATAATATTGTAGTAGCTCAAGAAGCTATGCATTCCATTCGGAGGAATAATAGTAGAGTGAAAGCGGTAGCCACTTCAATTGATCTTGCAGAAGCCTATGATATGACGACAACATGTTTACCAAGAGATCAAGACCTTAAACTCAATTCTCCCATTCAAACATGAGGAGGCACAAATATTTGTCAGTTTCCACCAATACTTCTATGACATATTAATTGCCAAGGGCTTTTTCAATTGTGCATGCTCCATTTGCAACTCCCAGCATGAAAACTGGAACTTCAATATGTAAAGAACGCACTATAGTCTATAGCTAGGTGGGATCAGTAAAGAAGACCCTGACTCGTTTTCAAGCTGACCTAGGTACCTTGTTTAGTAACATGAATCAGCTGAATTCTTTGGATTTTCAAGATCAGTGATAACCAAAGCATATAAGCCTTTTTTCCTGGTAACCAAAAAACTAATTGGACGAACAAATGAAAATTTCAGAATTCAGAAAGGCACTTTTTCTCATTGCAATCGAAACTACCGGGAGACTAGCAATCGGAGAGACAAGCAGATGCGTGCTTTTTAAGATATGCCTTTAAGTATATACCTGATCTCCTGCAAAAAGAAGCCATGCGTGAGTTCTTGATTGAATCACCGGAGATTTTCTAAGCAACCTTGGAAAGCTGATCAGCAGTTGCAGCAATGAGTGCGCTGCAACAACTGCAGAGACTCCAACCACATATCTGTTCAGCAGGGATGCAGAATTCTTAACATTAATTAGATCATCCAAATTTACTCAAACATAACTCTTTAATATATGTGGTTCTTAACTAGGATTCGAGCATGGGACCATCCCTGTTAGTTCTGCTTTGCTTTGGAGGAAGGGATTAAACAGTCAGTGCAAAAGGT